GAAAAATGTTTAATAATACATCATGAATGTTTATTAGTGTCAGCCTCAGATAGTGAGGACTTTGAGAGAAGATAAAATATGCCTTTGTCTGACAGCCCAAAAATATCTACTAAAAGCTGTATTTATCTCAAAAACTATATAAAATATCATAGATTTCACTATCAAGATACTATTTGTATCTTCAATAAGTTTAAAATAGTTACATAAAACACCCTAAGTTAACAGTTATATAATGAAATGTTAAACTATATCAATTAGACAATAGGAGTTCTGAAAAGGAAGAGTAAAGTAGACTAGAGTTATCAGGGAAAGTTTTATGATGTTGTCCTTTAATTTCTCAGAATCATCTTCCCTTGCCATTCTCCCTAGTTACCTTTCAACTCCTTAAAGACTGACTCATATTCATAACCTGTGTCCTGAATAAGACAACTTATTCAGTAATGTTCAGGATTACAGAGAACCACTCACTCAGCCTGTTTTCCCAATAAAACCCATATTATAGCACAGGTCCCATGGGATGAGGGTAAGAGGAGAAATCCCTCCAACTTTCCATTTTCATTTAAACGTACCATGTATACATTCTTTATTAAAAGTTGTGTAAGTTTCAAGTATACAGAATTATAATTCGACATCTGTGTAAACTACAACATAATTACAAGTCTAATTACTATCCATCACCATACACTTGACTCTGTCACCTTTTTTACCCACCTCCTAAACCCCTTCCTCTCTGGCAACCACTAATCTGTACTCTGTTTTATTGTTTGTTCATTTGCTTTATTTAGTTTCCATGTAAATCATACAGTATTTTTCTTTGTCTGGCTTATGTCACTAAGTATATTACCCTCACAGTCCATCCATGTTGTTATAAATGACATTTCATTTTTTAAGGCTGAGTAGTATTCCATTGTGTGTACACACACCAAACTTCTTTATTCCTTCATCCATCGAAGGACACAGGTTTTTTCCATATCCTGACTATTGTAAATAATGCTGCAATGAACAGAGGGGTGAATATATCTTTTCAAATTAGTGTTTTTATGTCCTTTGAATAAATACCCAGAAGTGGAACAGCTGGGTATGGTAGTTCTATTCTTAGTTTTTTGAGGAATCTCCATATTGTTTTCCATAGTGGCTACACCAATTTACATTCCCAACAAGAGTGCAGAAGGTTTCTTTTCTCCACATCTTCTCCAACACTTGTTGTCTTTTTGACAACAACCATCCTAATAGGTGTGAGGTGATAGCTCACTGTAGTTTTGATTTGCATTTCTTTAATAATTAGTCATGTTGAACATCTTTTCATGTGCCTCTTGGCCATCTGCAAGTCTTCCTTGCAAAAACATCTCTTCAGACCCCCTGCCCATTTTTTAATCGGATTTTTGTTGTTGTTATTGAGCTGTATGATTTCTTTATATATTCTGGATAGCAACCCCTTACATAGTAACCAAATATATGATTTTCAAACATCTTCTCCATTCAGTAGGTTGCCTTTTCATTGTGATGATGGTTTCTTCTGCTGCAAGAAGCTTTTTAGTTTGACGTAGTCCCACTTATTTTTGCTTGTTTCCCTTGCCTTTGGAGTCAGAGCCACAAAAACTTGGCTAAGACTGATGTCAATGAGGTTACTGCCTATAGTTTCTTCTAGAAGTTTTATGGTTTCAGGTCTTATATTCAAATCTTTAATCCATTTTCAGTTAATTTTTGTGTATGCTATAAGATGGTGGTCTAGTTTCATTCTTTTACATGTAGCTGCCAGTTTTACCAACACCATTTGTTAAAGAGATTGTGCTTTCTCCATTTTATGTTCTTTGCTCCTTTGCTGTAAATTAATTGTCCATATATCTGTGGGTTTATTTCTAGGCTCTCAATTCTATTCCATTCATCTATGTGTTTGTGTGACAATAACATACTATTTTATTTATTATACCTTTGTAATATAGTTTGAAATCAGAAAGTGTGATGTCTCCAGCCTTGTTCTTCTTTTTCAAGATTGTTTTGGCTATTTTGGATCTTTTGTGGTTCCATATAAATTTTAGAACTATCATGTATACATTCTTAATGGATTCAGGGATAAAAATTAATTTGCCTTTGATAAACAATTCCATTTCAAAATCTAAAATCGAATTAGGACTGGATTTTAAATAATAATGAAAAATTATCCCAATCTCATTAATTGTGATAAGATAATGTTTATGTTAAAAAAAGTTCATATTTTTAAGAAACGTATATTGAAGCATTTAAGGGTGAGATGACATGGTGCCTGGAATTTGCTTAAAAATATGTAAGCCAAAAAAAAAAAAACGGCCAAAAATAGAGGGAAAGGGAGAGATTAAGGAAATGTAATAAAACCTTGATGTTTATTGTAACTGAGGGACATTATCACACTATTCTCTCTATATTTGTGTACATTTGAAAATTTTCATTAAAATTTTAAAAATATTGTCCAAGTTAATTAATCACATTTCTATTACACAGTAAGTAAAATAGATTTAGGAAGTCTGAGTTCATTCTCCAAAGATTATTGAAAAATTATGGCTATTAAGCAATAAAAGTGTTTTATTTTTCTTCCAAAATTATGGTACAGTTCAAAGCCTTAAATATTTGTCTTCAATGCATGATGTCAAATACAGAAGGATAAAAATTCTGAAAATCACTAAAAAACAACTCATCAAAATCATTACTCCATCAAACATTGTTGCTTAACTGTTGTTACTGATAAGATAATCAAGTGAGCAACAAGCACAATTCTACAGGTGCTTTAGCAATACTGGTATTAGAAACCACCTAGCAATGTAACTTAAAACTGAATAGCATTTACACTCAATGGTAATTTAAAAAACCCAAAACATACCTGAATAGATGAAAAAGAACTCTAGATGAATCCACTAATGCTGTTTCAGTAACCCACTGAATGCCAAATATTTCCACTGTGTCCTCTTCAAAATTAGTTGGTAAAGGATCAAGATTCAAAATTAGTCTGAAATGAAAACTCTGATTTAATCTCATAAAAACTATGCTAAATTCCATACTATAGCATGTCTTTTTTGACATTATATGAATCCATATTACACATGACATGTTAACAATGTTATAAAATCATGAAATGTCTGATACCTTATACTATTGTAGTTAGACTATATTAAGAATTCAATCTTACATTGGGATTAAAAAGTATAACTAAATAGCACTATAACTTGGGGGAAAATACTGAAAAGGAGTCTAGGGCACATACTTTCATCTGTCTTCAGTTGTAAAATTGCACCCTTGAAGGGGACATTTAATTTTTAGAATAGTTGAAAGTTATTCTGAGCCAATGTCTAAAGAAGGACATAATCACGTTCAGTAACTTTTTTTTAAGGTCTCAAAGAAAGTACAACTATAAAAATCAACAAAAATGATTTCCTTTCTGACTGAAATTGCCTCAGCAGGTATTGCCAAGATATTCAATAGGAATTTTACTGCAATATGTGTATACGCCTGTTCAGGACAAGAGCGTTGAAGAATAACGTTGCTGTGAACTTATGGGAGTATTTATCAGAAAAGTGAAAAAAAAAAGGAAGTCTATAAGACTTCTATATGCATAAATATGCAGAATTAGAAGGCACTGGGGCAACAAAAAAAGTTTATGTCTTACTTAAGAATTACTGAGAAGCTTCAGAATATTAGCTCATGTTTTGGAATATTAGCTCATTTCAAAAAGCCCAGGTGACTCAGAATTCACTTTATGTAAAAGGTAAAATAGTGCCCAGCTCCCTATCCCAAAGGTGAGGCAGCAGTGAGGTAAGAAAACATCAGGTAACAAGGAAGACCTTCCAAAAATCTTTTAGGTATGCTCTAAGCAGGAAACCAACAGAATAGCTTGTAACCGTGTGATATAGTAAGCCAATTTAAATACATTGCTTGATGAACATCAAAGTTTAATTGATTGAAATCATAAATAACATTCCTAAACAGACTGGTAACAAATCTGAATAGGTTAGAGCAAAGTTTTCGATTTTTTACCTACCGCTTAAGGGCTCCGCTGGAAAGGTAGGACTCCCCAGAAAAATGTTTTCCTCCTCCTCTGTGGTCAAAATCACAAGAAAAGCAAGGGGGTTTGCACCACTCTGTCTCCAGCTCCAGCTCCAAGCTGTCGGTCAGGAATGTCGACGCAGAAGCACAGTTATCCATTGTTTACTTCATGTCCTGAAATGTTTGGGGTTCGTTATGATTATCATTAAGGGCTCCAAATAAGTTGTAATGAGATTCCTGGAGGTGGGGCGGGCCGAGAAATTAGAAGTGACCTCGAGAAAGTTCCCCAAACGCCCCCCCCAACACACACACAAAGGAAAAACCCGAGACGCCAAATGCTGAACAACTCTCCCCACTACCGACTTCCCGAGATCAAGGCCGTCAGAACTTAGGGAGAATGCACCCCCGACTGGCTGCAGCAGGAACTTAAAATCCCCTTTAGTCGGTCACCGCAGCCCAGGACAGGGTGGAAAGGAAAGAAGTGTTTTCAGGACAGATCCAACTTCAACTCCTGAGCCCGCCTCGACCTGCGGCCTCCACTACGTTTCTAAACTGCTCTCAGCCAGTTTCCGGACACTGTTGGGAACTGTAAGCTCCCTTGCAGACTCCGGTAGGGGATCAGAAGGGACCGGCGCAAAACCCTACTCCACCCCGCCGCGGGGCAAGTCCCGCCAGGTCCTCACAAGGCAGCGATAAGAACGCCGAACACAGGGCGAATGGAACCGGCGTCCTGCGCACCCGGGCGTCCCTGGTTAGCTTCACGTCGTACCTGCTCACACTTTCAGTCCCCGAGATCCGCCCCGGAGATTCCGACCGCAGCCTGCGACTCGGTGGGGTCTAAATCCCACACAGGTGAAATTCCCGCCAAGGCGCGCTCGCGCTCAGGAAGGGCGGGGCTAAGGCGCAGCCCGCCCCCGGAGGTCCGCTCGCGAGGTCTCCGCGGGAACCACCGGCGCTGTGCAAGTTCTCGCGAGAGTCTGTCAGCTGAGCCGTTCGCTCGGAAGAGCGACAAGCTGCTTTTTTTTTTTTTTCGTAGTTTTAATTGGTACTTTGGGCCTGAAGGCGGGGGCCTCACTGAGAAAGGAAACTGAGGCTGAGGTGAGCAAGGCTTAGGGATACCGGGGTTGTCCTCAGGCCGGGCTTGAGAAAAGAGCTCTGTCTCAGCGAGTCCGAAGCGAGCGTCTCAGGCTGCGCCACCCCCTCTTCCGCGCTAGTCCCGGCAGCTCTTTTGTTGAGGTTGAGGATGCCTGTTCATGGACTGTGGGCAAGGCAGGTGCAAAAAGGAGGCTTTTCTAACGTATGGAAACACTGAGTAGGTCAGATGGTACTTGTTTTCGGTATAAAAACTGTTCCTCTCCCCTCTTTTTTTTCCTCTGCAACATACCTGGACAGTTTTAAGTCGCTTAAACTTGGGCGCTTTTGTAAAGCGTCCATGCACGGTATTTTTATCTTTTTAAAGTGTTTTTTAACATCTACTCTTCAGAAGACTTTTCAGTCTAAGTCGGAGATAGCACGTTTCAGCTTATGACTGTATTCAGTTTCAAGAAAAAACATTAGAATTTCCATTTAAATGTCTTGCTATAATTTGAGTATTCCCCATCCTCCACAATACAGTTTCCTGGGTTTAATTCCTAAATAGGGAACTGTCAGCACTTTTCTCTGTTCAAACCAATACCATATAGTTTCTGATAAATGGAATGAGGTGGGAAAAAAACTGTATTTCAACTGCGACCTAGGGCCGCTGTGTTGTATGCTGTCTGTTATGCTCAGCTGTTGTACTGTGAGACCTGATGCTTTGTTGGGGTTCACTACGTCTCATTAATGGTCCATGTGGCGTCTCTAGCATTACACATAGTGTCATCTACAACAATTTCTAGGAAATAGCGCCTAGGTATGAGAATGTTGGGCCGTGACACTGAGTTTAGGAGAACTAAGTCAACAGATAGTCGTTGTTCCTTCTTCCTCTACTCAAAACATCCAAATAGGTCTCCTTTTCTTTTTTCAAGCACCTGATGTTGAGTGATCAATTTTGTTGAACCAGTGAGTGGAATGGAAGAACTAAATGACTTCTCTGTAAGTAATTTAAGCTAGTAGTATAACACTTGTTATAGCAGCGGCACCCAGAACTAATGAGAGTCATTGTTACACTTAAGCCTAAATGATAAGGGAAAAGGGATTACCAGGGCCCAGGGAGACTTACTGCTGTAGGAGACAACCACCTACCCGATAGCCACTTATGGTGCCTTCATGGAAGAGCATAGCCACTGCCAACCTGAACCCAGCAGAGAGAAGCTGAAAGGACTAAGTGCAGACCGACTTCATTTTATTGTGTTTTGCTTTGTTGTGCTTCCCAGATACTGTGTATTTTACAAATTGAAGGTTTGTGGCAACCCTGCGCCCAACAAGTCTATAGACGCCATATTTCCTACAGTGTTTGCTCACTTCATGTCTGTGTGTCACATTTTGGTAATTATCACAATATTTCAAGCTTTTCATTTATTATAGTGATCTATAACCAGTGATCTTTGATGTTACTCTTGTAATTGTTTTAGGGTGCTACGAACTGGACTCATGTAAGACAGTGAACTTAGTTGTTGAAATGACAAAAAAGGTTTAGCATATTCCGTAAACTTAGTTGATAAAGCAGTGACAGGGTTTGAGAGGATTGACTTCAATTTTGAAAGATTTCCTGTGGGTACAAGGCTATCAAACAGCATCACATGCTACAAAGGAATCATTCATGAAAGAGTCACTCGCTATGACAAACTTCATTGTCTTATTTTAAGAAATTGACACAGCCGCCCCAAACTTCAGAAACCACCACCCGGATCAGTCAGCAGCCATCAACAATGAGGAAAGACCCTCTACCAGCAAATGATCATGACTTGCTGAAGGCTTAGATGATGGTTAGCATTTTTTAGCAATAAACTATTTTTTAATTAAGGTATGTGCCTTTTTTAGACCTAGTGCTACTGTACGTTTAACAGATTACAATATAGTATAAACATAACTATTATTTGCACTGAGAAACCAGAATATTTGTGTCTCACTTTATTATAATATTTGCTTTACTATGGTGGTCTGGAACAAACCCACAATATCTCTGAGGTAACCTATACCCAAACCTCTTACCCTCCACACTCCAATATCTAACTGGTGTCTTTCATTGCTAAAACCACCCTAAAAGCAGAGGGCAAAGATGTAACCTCTAAAGTTCAGGCTCATTGGGTATCATCCAGGCTGAAGAAAGATAGTGAATCTGACAGAAATGGAGACAATTTTATGAAGAAGACACAATAGTAAGTGTATATATGTATTACATAACAGACCTTCAATTTACATAAAGAGCAAAATACTATCACTTATGGAAGAAATATTCAAGTCAATAATTATGGAGACCTCAGCACTCCTCTTTCTTTGATTGGTGGACTAAGTAGACAGAAAATTTGTATAGATAAGAAGACTTGAACAGCATTACCAACCAACTTGATGTAATTGACATTTATAGGTGATTCAATCTAGCAATATCAGAATAAACTCAACAAGTGCATGTGGAACATTCACTAAGACCATATTTTGAGCCATAAAATAAATTTTATCAACTTTTAAGGATTGAAATCATAAAAATTAGAATATATTTTAGAAAAATAGATAAATTCCTTGAAAGATACCAACTACTAAAGCTTATGAAAGGAGAATAATATAACTCAACTATCTCTATATTCATCTTAATAATTTTAATCCTTAGTTTAAAAACTCTCTCTCACACACACACATCACACACTTCTTCCAAGAAAACTCCAGGACCAGATGGTTTTACTATTGAATTCTCCCAAACATTTAAGGAAGGAATAATACAAATTCTATACTAACTCTTAAAGAAATTAGAAGAGGATGGAATACTTCAAAACTCATTTAATTCGGCCAGTATTACACTGATTTAAAAAATGACAAGGACAAGAATAGGAAAGTACAATATCATGCACAAAGAGGCAGAAATTTTGCCAAGTAAAATCTAGCAGTACGTAAAAAAGATGACATGCGAAAAAAAAATCAAGTTCATCTTGGGAATGCAAGTTCGGTTCAGATTTCAAAACACAATTAGGGTACTTCATTATATCAAAAGACTGTAAAAAGAAAAATCACTGTCATCTCAATATGAAAATAAAAGTCACTTGAAAAATTCAACATCCAGTCACAATAAAAATTTTCAGAAAAGTAGGAATAGAAGAAAGTTTCCCTAAACTGATAAATGGCAACCGTGAGAAACCTACTGTTAATATTATGAAAATGAATGTGTTCTTCCTAAGATTGAGGACTAGACAAGGATGTCTGTTTTCTCTGCTTCAATGTAACATTGTGCTGGAGGTAACTAACCAATGCAGTAAAGTATGAGAAAGAAAGAAAAGTCACACAGATTGGAAATGAGGTAGGAAAACTAGTCATCATTCTCAGGTGACATAAATAGTCATTTATGTAGAAAATCCTTAAAATGTACAAAAACAACTACTAGAACTAATAATTCAGCAAGGTGGCACAAGTTTCAATGTTACTATACAAAATGAACTGTATTTTTATAAACAAGCAGTGAACATTTAGAAATTGAATATTAGAGAACAATACCATTTTAATGGCATCAAACGTACATAGAGATAAATTTAACAAAATATGCACCAGATTTTGTATGCTGAGGAGTATGAAATATTGCTGAGAGAAGTTCAAGTATACCCAATTAAATAGACATAGAAGATACAGATGTTCTTCCAACATCTGTCTACAAATTCAGTGGAATGCTAATCAAAATCTCAGTGGTCTTTTCTTTATAGAAATTCACGTATGCTTTCAGAAATAGATATGAAAATGAAAAGCATCTAGAAACAATTTTGAATAAGAACAGTAGTGGAAAATTCGCAGTACTTGATTTCAGGACTTATTATAAAGCTACAATAATCAAAACTATGTGGTATTGGTCTAAGGACATATAGTCGATGGAACAGAATAGAATCCAAGAATAGACTCCTATAGATATGGTCAGTTGATTTTGGGGAAAGATAATTCAATGGTGAAAAGACAATTTTCAACAAATGGTGGTAAAACTATTGGATATGATACACTAAACGATGAAGTTTGATCTTTACTTTGTACTGTTTACAAAATTTAACTCAATGTGGATCACAGTCCTAAATCTAAAAGCTAAAATGATAAAAATTTAGATATTCAGAGGGCTAGTAAACAGGAAAATGGCAACAAAGAAAGGCAAGAAGTAAAGCCATTTCTCTGGAGAAAACTCAACTGTGTACAGTATGGTGTAGTATCTGTCACAAAAGCCAAGAGATTTTCGTAAAAGAATGGGTAATCTATATCAAATGCTGCTGATAAATGGAATTCTAAGAGAAAACAAATTAACCATTGAATTTGGCAAGGTCATTACTGATGTTGATGAAAGCCATTTTAGTTGAGTAGTGGTTGGGGAAAATGTTAGACTGGAGTGAGTTGGATAGAAAATGGGAGGTGAGTCAGCAAATATAGAAGCTTTACCCAGGAATTTAATTTAAAATAAAACAAAATTAGGGCAAGAGGGAGATGTGGGGATCAAGAGATGAGGTTTTAAAGATAGGCAGTATTAGAACATGTGTGTGAGGTTATAGCAATCAAGTATAAAGGGAAAGGTTGATGATGCTGAAGAGGAGGGGAATGATTGCAGGACTGCGGGCATTAAGAAGACAAGGGGGAATTGTATTCACCACGCAGATGACATATTGACCTCTAATAGGATCAAGGACAATTTTTCATTAACAGGAGTAATGCGAGGTATACAGCTAAAGATGGCTGAAGTTGGTGAAATGGGTAGTTGGAAGCTGAAGTAGCTTTTGTTCTATTGAACTCATTTATATATCACACTGAAGTTATATGTGTATGATTACAAGGAGATTATACACCAAAAAGTTACTAGTTAAAATTTGGAAGGTGGAAATGAAGGCACACTTTAGGGGCAAAAAAACTCTATACATGTTTTTATTGTTTGAATATTAGAAATGACCAAACCAACCTAAGGTGAAAAGAAGAATCATCCTGATTTTTAGTTGGTGTCAGATTCC